TGGACCTGCAGAGCAGCCAGTGGTTTCAAACCACCAACCTCTGGCTTAGCGGCTGAACGCTACCCAGTGCAGCACAGGGCCCCTTGATTGACAGCAGGCTTGCTGCCTTTTCCTTCCGACTGGAACAGCGAGGTGGTCCCAGGCCTCTGGCCCGAGGCAGGTACAGCTCAGCCAACTCGGCTGGTCGAGTTCTGGGGTTTGACTGACTTAACACATGGTGCAAGGTCGCTCCTGACTCCACACCCCACACATAGCTGAGCAAAAGCCGGGCAGATCCTGACCACATGCCCCTCTGCTGTGTGTGGACCCAACACAGTCGCCGCCAGCACGTCATGTCGAGGGTCTTCCTCTTTCACAGACCTGCTTTGCTAAGTTTGCTGTCCCTCTTCAGGGACTGGTCCCTCATGATACCAAGTCCACAAGATGTGAGATTAAGTTTGACTTCAGGAGTGATCACCTGTTCTGGCTGGTTGTGAGCTATTCTGTTCTCTTTGCCAACACCCCAGTTCTCGCGGTCTTCCAGCAGCCACTCACCCTCCTGTGGGACATGATTCCCCACGTGCCCTGCCCTGAGTGGAATGTTCATGGACACAGAGTTCTTGTCCTGCTGCCGTTCTTGTGGACCAAACTCCTGTGCTGTCCAGCCGAGGCCCGCGTACCTGCTGCCTGCCTTCTCACCCACTCTGGGGAAGGAAGCACTTCTCTTCATCTTCAGGCCTGGGAACTTGTTATTACAGGGAGAGCTGAGAACTTAGCCACTGAAGGACTCATCTCCACCCTCAGAGGCGCCAGGTGTACCTCATCATCAGCTGGACCAGCACCGCACCTCACATCTTGTGATGAAGGGTCGGGGAGACCCAGAGAGCCTGCCCTATACCCCGTGCTTTGCTGACCTGGGCATGGACCTAGCTGTCGGGGCCTTTAGGAACTCCGCTGCCCAGGAGGCTACAGCCTCAGGTCCTTTCCAGGCCAGCAGTCTATCCTGACCACCCCCCAGGCCAGAGGTAGCCCCCCCTCACCTGGGTGTGGCTCAGCAGAGGGAGGGTGGCCCGGTGGGCAGAGCAGAAAGCCCGGCTGTCCTCCCAGGCGCGTGCATCCTTGGAGAGGTAGAAGCATTGCTCCTCGGCCCACAGCCAGCCCTGGGGACACGGGCGGCACGTGGTCCCTGCAAGTAAGAAATGCGAAGCGTTGCCACCTTGATGCAGCATGTCCCCAGGAGGGAGCGGCCTACTGTGTGGTGGGCACAGGCTGGCCCGGGGGGAGCCAGGAGCTCTTTTTCTTGACACAGAAAGCACTCTGCTCCCCTAGGATCTTTCCAGGGGAGGCCTCCTAGCTCCCAAGGTTCTGTGAGAGCCAGAGATGGCCTGACGGGACAGGGGACCAGATGGGGTGACATACCTCCTCGAGAAGCCAGGACCACATTGGTGACCGCAGACACTGCCAGGAGCAGAGCCATGATGACCAGGGCCCAGCGCAGGGACTTCATGTACTTGGAGAGTCCTGGGGGCCAGGACAGAGGCAGGTCAGGAGGCCACCTGAGTGCACGCACCTGAAACCCCACCTGTGTCACACCAGTTAATGTACCCAGCCTGGGACCACAGGAGGTCACGGTGCTCTCTCAAAACCACAAGGTCACATCAAGTGAGACATCGTCCTCAGAACCACAAGGGGGTCCACCAGATAGGTGCCCCCAGTAGAACCATAATTTGGTCCACCAAGGGCCCCCCCCCTCAGCCACAAGGCCACATCTGGTCAAACATCCACCTCTAAGGGGTCCACCAGCTGCACCCCTCAGGAGCCATACATAACAAGGTCGACCATGGATCCCACCTCAGAACCGTAACAAAGTTCACCACTAACTGCCCCCCAGCTCGGAAGGCCAAGATCCTCCAGGGACCCACCTTGGAACCATCCCATCCTTGAGACCACAACACGGTCACATGAGGTAAGACGGTCACATGAGGTAAGACATCCTCCTCAGAACCCCTAAGTCATACCAGGCAGCACACCCACGTAGAAACCCCCTGCAACTGCGATACGTCTCAGCACATCCACATGGGACCCCCACTCTCCCACCACGATCATGGGTCTCAGGACTGAGCCTGCGGCCAGGATGAGCACTCGACTTAGGTCTCACATCTGGACAACAATGGGAACAGTCTTTAATGATATTTCCAAGGGACCTCACCCACCTGGACAGTCCTCCTGCCCTAGCACCTGCTCCAGCAGCCACTTAGTTCAACCCCCAGATCTCCTGGGATGGACCCCATGTCCACACCCCTTGCCTACTTCACAACCTTCATTGTCCACACTGTCACCCCCAAATTCACCTTCCCGGGACCTCGATCTGTGACTGTGGATCTGCATGTGGGGATGTGGGCACTCCAGAGGAGAGTGGGCCCCACTCCTATACCCCAGGTCTGTGAGAGGGACAGTTCTGAGGGGACAGAGGCAGCTGCGGCAATTGTAGGAAGAAGCCAGCAGGGATCCACCAGGAGATGTTGACCGTTGGGCCTCCAGATGGGGGACAGGCCAAGCAGCTGAGTCACAGGGCAGCCCCAGGAAGAGACACCGCCCACCTCAGCCACCACTGGACAGGGTGGGGAGAGAGAAAGCACCAGACCACACACACAGAGGTGCCCCCCCCCCCCGCTCGCATTCCCAGGGCAGCACAGAAACATGGGGATGTCCTGGAGCTGACCTGGGTGTGAGGGTCAACACCAGCAAAAGTCACGGGCCAGAGGTTTCTGTTCAAGCAGCTTCCAGGGCCCCAGCCTCGCTCGGCCCTGATCCAGGACGCCCAGAAAGCAGATCCAAGGCTCACCCCCACACCCACCCCCTGAGTATGTCCTGCTGTCTGGTATCTCCTCCTCTGGTGGCTCAGGGGTAAGGAATTGTGCTGCCAACCCAAAGGTACATGGTTTGAGTCCACCCCAGGTTCTTCAGGGGAGAAAGATCCTCCTCTGATTTACTGTCTCTGAAAACCTGCTGGAGGCTCAGCAATGGGCTGGTTCCCACCCCCTGGGACACCACCACCACCTGCCTCACCCCCTTGCTGACCAGGTTCAGCCCCTGAACACTAGGGGCAAGGTAGTAGGTAACTCCTTCAGCCCATCTTTCAGTCAGTCGGTGTTGTTCCCGTTTTCATGCTCATTAAAAGCTGCACATCGTGGTAGGGAGGATAGAGTCCCACCAAAAATGTCCCGCCTCTTGTTAAAGTTGCAAATGGAATCAACCTTGTTAATCAGTTGATTTTAAGATAGGGAGATTATTTTGGATTGTCTAGGAGTCTGAGGTCATCATAAGTAGAGATGGGATAACAGTGAAAGCAGACTGATGGTGGCAAGGGAAGAACTGGGCCCCACCTTGCAGCTTTGAAGACAGGAGGGGCGCTGGCCATGAGCCCAGGAATGCAGTTGAGTTCCAGCAACTGGACAAGGCCAGGAAGTGGAATCTCCCCAAGATTCCACAAAGGAAGGCAACCTTTGATATTAACCCTTTTAAAACCCATCTCAAACATTGAGACCTACAGAACTGTAAGATAAGAAACCTTGTGCTCTCTTTGGCAGCACATATACTAAAATTGGAACGATACGGAGAAGATCAGCAAGAAGTGTTCCAATTTAAAAAAAAAGAAATCTAGGTCATCACAAGCTGAGGGTGAGAAGCGAGGGTGCCCCTCAACCAGACAGACAGTAACTCTGCGCTCAGCCTGTCAGTGAGGGTGATGATGGTACAGGACAAGGAAGGGGTCAGATCTGCTGCTCATGGGGTCACAGAGGGTCCTGGTCACCTCCATGTCAGTGAACAACAAACTGCTCAAGTTCTCACATGACCAGAGCCCTGGACCTTGGGGTGTCCATCTGGCCGGGCCTGCCTCTCCATGGGTGGAGCTGTTGGTCAGCTGGGCAGGACCTCCCTTCCTGGCCCCTCACTAGGCAGGACCCCCACCCAGGACCTGGACGGCTTAGTGTTTCCAGCTCTTTCTTCCATCAGCCTGACTGCTTCCCCCACACACACACCCCGGGGGCTGCCCTCCCAGCGCTGCCCTGAGTAACTGTAGCCGGGTAGACAGGGTGAAGTGCTTCAGGAGGGGAGGGGGGCAGGGGAGGGGGCCACTCTGGCCTACCCACCCATCCGTGCTCCAGAGTCTGTTTCCAAAAGGGGAGTTTTATAAACCCTTGGGAACAGCTCCCCTCTGCACACTTGGTCACCACGAGACAACTGACCCTCAGGACACTGGCCTGGGCCTCTGGCTGAGGGAGGGGGCCTGAGGAGGGCAGACGTCTGGGTCCTGCCGGGTCCTGCCGGGTCCTGCCAGCTCTGCCGTCTGAGGAAGCCCCCCTTCCTTCTCATCTTTCTCCCGGCACAACTGCAATTACCCAGGCCTGGCGTGACCATGACCGCCAGCCTGGGCGCCCGGTTAGTAGGGGCCCTGCCTCCCTCCCCAGGCGTTCGAATCCACCAGGTGATCGGCGGAAAGGAGATGGACAGTCTCCTGCGCGGGGCGTCATCTGTGAGGCAGACCCCAGGACAAGTTCGTTGAGAGTGGTCTCCTCTCCCTCATCCTGGTGGGGTCTTCGCTCTGGGGGCCGGGTCCAGCCTCGTGCACGGTGCAGGGACAGTCCCTCGGGCCCCTCGAGTGCAGGTGCAGACAGCTCCGTGCACGGTGCGGACGGTTCAGGGGTCCTTGGTCATGAGGGCCCCTCGCGCGCGAGCGGGGACGGGGTGGCCCAGGCTCCTCACCTATGAGCGCGATGGCGCGCGGCAGCTTGTCTCCCTCGGCGCCGGGCAGCAGCGCGGCCACCTCCTTAGCGCCCGGGTCCAGCTCGCGGCACCGGCAGCAGCCGAAGGGCGAGCCCGGGGGTCTCTCTGCGGGCGCGGCGCGCTCCTGGTCCCAGAGCCCGGCCAGTGGGCTCCGGGGAACGGTGGTGGCCGGGGCGCGGCGCGCGCAGCCGGGGGACTCGGGCACCGGGACGGTCAGGAAGCGCGTGGAGGGCGCGGGCGAGGGGCTCCGGCCGCCCGGCGTGCCCACG